ACGCTAAATATAAAACAACCACATGATTCAGCCACTTCTGGGAATATAACCAAAGGAAACAAAATCATTATCTCAAGGAGATATCTGCACACTCATGTTCATTTCAGTATTATTTATAAGAGCCCAGAGATGGAAACAATACAAGTGTTCATTAATAGATGAATGAATAAAGAAAACATGATACAAACTCACACATATACACACATACATACACAATCCATTGGCACATGAATGGACAAAGTGTGGCATATGAAATATTACTCAGCCACAAAAAAGAAAATCCTGGCATTTGTAACAACGTGAATGGACGTTGAGGGCACTATGCTAAGACAGAAAAAGACAAATACCAAATGATCTTACTTATATGTGGTATCTAATAAAACAGGACTCATAGAGACAGAGAAGAGATTGGTGGTTGCCACAGGTTGAGAATGGGAGGGTGGGGGAAACTGGTGAAGGTGGTCAAAACTTCCAGGTATAAATAAATCCTAGATATATAATGTACAGCATTGTGACTAGAGTTGACAATATGTATTGTATATTTGAGAGCTGCTAAATAAGTAGATCTTAAATGTTCTCATCACAAGAAAAAAATTTGCAAGTATGTGAGGTGTTGGCTGTTAACTTATTGTGGTGGTCATTTCATAATATTTACATATATCAAATCTTTCTGTTATACACCTTAAACCTATACAATGTTATGTCAATTATACCTTAATAACTCTGGAAGAAAAAATAATAAAGGCAATGAGATTGCTGCATAGAAAAAACAAACGAACAAAATTCTGGCCCGCCAAAACCATATATTCCATAAAAAAGGTATGTAATTAAGTGTTGAACCATCAATAATATAAAATGGATACATATTATCAACAGTGATAACATTGGTGGGAGGTAAAATACAACATTCAGCAGAGTTCTTGCCCTCACAGAGATTAATCACAAATTAGGTGAAATGAGACAGGAAATCCCTAGTTCCTATGGGTTGCACTGCATGATCTCCACCATCTCTGCCACAAGAGACCAGGATACCAGACTCCCATACAGAACCATGACTTGTGTGGGATGGCTCATCAATCCTCTAGGAGCTTCAGCAAGGGGAAAGTTCCAGGAGCGCTGCTGTGACCCTGAAGGCCCCTGAAAGAGGGCAGCACTGGGTTAAGTCTCAGAGACTGGGATTCACGGCTTGTGGATAGGTGGGGAGAGGTGAGTGTATAGTGCAGTGTCCTGCCAAGTCAGACTCAGGAATAGATAGATTTATGCTCTGAACATAAAGATTTAGGGAAAAAAGAATAAATCAGAAGTACAGAATTTTTAAATCCTCTCATCTCATACGAAATAATACCATAAAACAAAACACTAAGCAAGAAAAAACCCCCCAAAACAAAGAGCACTCTAGGAAGTGACAGCAAATGTTTACACCTTGGTTCTAAGCTGTCAGATTCCCAACTGTTTGTGTGAATAATCTACACTATAACATTCTTTTCCTTCTATCTTGGCCTAAGGATATGGGTACTAGGACACTTTGAAATATCAGATGAGAAGGAAAAGAAAAAAAAAAGCGTGTTAGGAAAGAAAAATGAGAATAATGTTTTATCAGAATGATAACACAGGTGTCCAAAACAAGACAAAAGCAGAGCCCACAGGAGAGGGAAAAATCATGGATGCCACATATCAAGAGGCTTTCAGAAATGTGTAAATATGGTAGTCTCCTTGTTGTGATTTCACTGCAGAAGCCCTCTGATCCGACTTGATCACAAGTGGCCCAGTTAATCAAAATGTCAGAATACAGAATCAGAAAAATCTTCCTCATGCCCATTTATGTTCCATGCAGAGGGAGCAGAGAAGGGAGGCAGAAGGGAGGGACCTGAGCTGGATCACGGGTTTAGATTACCAGCTGGGGGACTTAATGCCTGAGAGTCCCCATTTGTAAAAATGGGTGCAAGGATACTTGCCTGCCTCATAGAACTGTAATGGAGATGAAATTGGTAAGCGCTGTAAAGGCTGTAGAAATGTATCTGACACGTGGTAAACACTACGCATTTGTTAAATAACGTTGTTGGTAGGGCCAAAGCTACTTCTTTGCCTAGGGATCCATTAGAGTCTGTTTTGTTTGGTTTTTTTGGCGGGGGGGGGGGAGAGGGGCATCAAACACATGCTTTATGCATTGTTTATGCATATGTCTTTGTTTTGGGTTTTCTTAACAGTGCAACAAGAACTTAAAATCACTTGGGAAGCAGTTTGCACGCAGAATGCCTCTATGTTTAAAATAATTCTCCAGCCCCCACAATTTTTTTTAGTTAGGCATCTATATTTCATTTGATCATAAACAATTATTTAGTGATTCGCCTTTATAGATGGCTTTGAAGCACTCAACTTTGTTTTATATAAACAATTCTTTCGGTATCACATTTCATCGGTTTATATAGTAGTTAAAAATGATATAATCACCATAAATACTACTTGCAGAAACATACTGAGTTACAAAGATGGCTCATTTATGGTGAGCATTCAACTCAACTGGTAAGAGAAGAAAGTATACTTAGTGGAGAACTCTATTAGTTGTCAATGTTTGATGAGTTGAGTGTTTTTTAACATGATTTATAAGAAGAAATGGTGAGTGTTGGTTAATCTGGCCAGTGGATTCAAATAAGGTTAATTAGAGATTCAGGTTCTATTAAGAACATCACTTTGGGATTTTACTTGCTATACTGACTTCTCAATTCTTTGGAATTTAGCTCAAATTATTGATTTTAATAGAGAGGGCCTTGATACTCTGATTTGTTACCCCCCCTAGTCCCAGAGATACCATTCTAGAAACTGGAATCGCCACAGAAGATTACTGCCCTTCTTAAGAATTTCATTTTCAGGTTAGAGTTTTTTGTTTTTTGTTTTTTTTCCTCAGCATGGATCTGGTTCCCTTTGTAAATTTCCCAGAAATTTTATCATTTATTCATTATTCCATTCAACAAATAATTATAGAGCTTCCATAGGTACAAAGCAAGCAGAGATTGCTTTTACTTTAGCCAGTGCTTCACAGTATGTATTTGTGCCACCAGAAAATAAAAAAATCACGAGTCACACAATTAACAGACCCCCTGAAAAGCCAGCAACTCCATCTCTCTGTGATTGTGAGCTGTAGATGGTAGAGGGCAGGCAGCCCACTTTCTACCATTTTTCTTTACAGAACTATTAACAGCCCATCTTTCAGAAATGTTATTTAAATTAGAATGGCTCCTGGAAGGGAAGACTATTTGGGGAGGAATATAAAGTGTGTTGGCTGAAAATACCCAATCAATAAACACTGAGTTCTATTGATAGCATACACACCATTTCCTGCCATTTGGATATGGATTTCAGAAATTTGTGACAGCCAATGAAAAAGTTTAAATATCTATGGCACATGTGTTTATTATGGAAATAAGCCACCATGATTCATAAACAGAGACTATGGATCCTTAAACATTGTTCCAGAAAAGCCTGAAGTTAAACCAAGCAAGATGGAAAAATTCATGAACATGCAACAGCTGTTAAAAGTAATTATAATATTGGATCTTGATATGAGAGAGCAAAAGAAATACAACTTTTTACAGATGCAAGATTCTCTCTGACAAACATTTGTTGTGGTTGGGACCAGGAAAGAGAATAGAGATAGACAATTTTTTTCTGCATAATTTTTGAGTCATAAATTATGAATTATGCTTTAAAAGATAAGGCAGAGAGGAAATTAATTTAGGAGATGAGATCTACTGTACAATTCAGAGAATGGTTTTATTTTCATTTGGGGGGAAAATTATACTTTTGATGTTCGGCTTTATCAAACATCTTTCTTTGAATGCAATGAATGGCAATTTCTCGTTATTTCCCTGAGGAGTCAAGGAAAGATGTTCACGCCAAAGTTCAGAGGGTAAATTAACAACACTGTCCCAGCCATCTGGAAAAGTGTTGTCCTGTAGACTCTCCTATGATGATGGAAATGTTCTATATATGCACCATCCAATATGGTAGGCGCTGTCCATATGAGGCTTTTCAACACTTCAAATGTGGCTAGTTTGGCATAGGAACTTAATTTTCATTTAGCTTTCAATTCCAATGGCACCACGTAGTTAGTGGTTACAGTGCTGGGCAGTAGAGTCTAGAGGATACCTCTGGTCTCTTCCCTTTCTCTCAGCCAATTAGGCCAGGCAGCTGGGGTTTATTTTTTGTACATTGTCCCTGAGAAACCTTACCCTTTGCTAACTTAGCCAGAGAAGGGCTCTAAGCAAGGCTCATGGGAGCTTGTTTGAGCAAATATACACATTAATAGGATTTAAAAAACCCCAGGAAACAGCAAAGATCAGCCTCCCAGCCCCCTTTGCCAATTCATGTGTCTCCCTGAAGTCAGGTATGTTCTCTGGTGCTTTGTCAGGGACCTCATTCAAAATGATTCAAATGGTTTCACTATCCACAACTTTGCATGTTATGAAGGAAAGTAAAGAAGGAGTTCAGTGAGAGCATTTAGACAAGGAGAACCTGAAAAACACTGAGGCAGAATATAGGAAGAATTGTGTGTGAGGAGGAACTCTGCATGGAGACAGATATGAAAGAAAAACAAACCCCAGCAGAATTTCTGATTACAGAGAATAAAGAAATGTAATTTGGCATCACATAAAACTCTTCCTTGCTTATCGCGGAATGCAAGATTACTAATACAAGTCCCCGAAGTAATCAATTATTTCCCGACTCCATTCCACAGTTGCACTTAGTTTACTAGAGGACACCTTCTGATGGTCCCTTTTACCTATTTATTATTTGTTGATGTATTTCTTTATCTAAATGTAGCTCTAAAAAGTCAGAAATTTAAGAGACGCTCAATTTTAATGACATCCCTTGAGAAGGGAAAGAATCAGGTTCTGATGCACGATGCCTTGCCTATGGAGATACTGGAAACTTTTGAACTAAAGTAACTTTTTGTCAATAGCATTTCAGTGGCAAGGATTGTTTTCCACATAAGCACATACCTGGAGGAGCAGATCAGAAGTTGGTCTGATTCGCTGTTGGAACAGGATGCTTAACGTTCGATTCTGTTGTTCCAAATCAAACACTCTTGTTTTCAACTTTACACATTCCTCCCTTAGATCCTACAACACAGTGAAAGAAGAAAAAAATCTATAACTGAAAGACACTTTTGCATATTATAACCATATTTTATCTGATATTTCAGACACATTAGTATAAAAATAGTATTTTTATTCTTCAAAGCCCCCGGGGAATAAATCACACACGTTTTCTCCCATAGCCCATTGTCTGATAGAATTATTATGTGCAGACAAGACCAATTTAAAAAAAAAAAGTACCTTGGAATCAGAAGTGCATTAATCTAGCATGCTATTTTTGAAGATGGTAAATGTTAGCGATATAAAGTCAATTTGAGTTTCCACCTATATATTTTGCCTTTTCACGGTCTTCATAAAAGCAGTCATAAAGCACAAACCACAAGGACAATAATGTTTTTGCAGTGAATAGAGATTTGATGAACTAAAGAAACCATCACTTTTGATAGAGCCTTTCGCTGTCATTTGTGGAAACAAGCTGAAATTTTCAACGCTGGGGCTAATAGAGCCAGTGATGCATTTAGACAGAGAGAAGCAATTCTGAAATGAAAGCTTTAAAAGGCCACTTGAAACCTGTTCATGCTCTGAACTGGTGGATTTCCATGTATTTGCGGTGGTTCATCTTGGTGCTGGGGAAGAAGTAGACTAGCCATACCTGGGCATCCTTCTGGAGCACTTCTTTTGAAGAGTTCAAAGACCACAGAGACATTTTCCCCAACTTTCATGAGGGAGGCTGTAACACAGGAGCCTTAGGATTCTCCAGAATCCACCAAGGATGTGCCTTCCAAACTCACTTGTGATAAAGACACTTGTAGCACTTGTCCACAAGTACTCTCTTGGATGGGGTTCAAGAAAGACCAGGTAGAACGATGCCCCAGTTCAAAGTTCTTCAAAAGCTGATCCTTTTCTACATGTCAAACCTGATCTTTCCCTACTTTCAAGTTTTTTAAAAAGGTTTCTGCTCTTGCCATTTAAAGAACAACGGTCTGCTTGTTGTTCCCAAAACCTCTGTGCATTCCTGCCATCCTCGCCCCCCCCCCTTTAATGGTCCCTTCTCAAGCCCCTCTTCCTTCTAGTCCAACTTTGGCATTTTGACTGATGTCCACCTTAAAATCTATCTGTCTCCTCTCTGACACTTTTATCTGGCATCCCGCAAAGACCATTCCTTTTCCTGAACTCCAATAAGCCCTCAATGCCTCTTACAGGGCATTTAGCGTACACTACTCTGTACTGATTTTATCTTTCATGCTCTGAACTTACCTTGTCAATTACATGGCACGTTCCTCAAAGGCAAGCATAAGAAGATACCCTAACAATCAACAGCACAAGCAGATTGTTCTTACACTCTTTTATTCCATCACCTGGCAAAACACCACATATAGTAGGAACTTAATAAACTGTGTGATTATTTTGTTAAACGGGATGGTGATGATGATAAGTTCCATTCCCTAGTGGTAGTGTGATTGAGGCTCTAAGTTTCTCAGCACTTCCAGTTTGCGGATCTATATATTTTGATGTGGGGCAGCTTCAGGGCTTACTTAAGACTCTGCAAGCAAGACAGAGTTCGAGACTACAGCTCTGATCCCCAAGCCCTAAAGAGAGGTGAGTGGGCCTGTCCATAACCTTGTGTGAAGCCAGACAGATTCAGCTTCTGAGGCTTTACCAGAGCCTCATTATATCCAGATTATATATCATTGATTCTACTTACAAAGGGCAAGGAAATAGGCCATGGTGAGGCTGACCACACAGCTTATACTCTCCTCACCTTTTTAGTTAAATGGGTAGAGTTTATGCATAGGATGTTTCCAACTGATTGCTACCTACAAATGCAGAGCATAGAAGAGAAATGTCATGTTCAGAATGAGGCACCTGAGTCCAAGATCTAGAAGAGCAGCAGCTGCCAAAGGCAGGGGCAGAAGTGTGCGTGTGAGCGTGAGCACATATGCCATTTGACAGAGGCCACTTTGGGGGCCTAGGCACTGCTCACAATAAAAGGCCAAACTTGTTTCCTTTATTTAGAATTCAACCTCTGTCTGTGTCACACTTACTCTACTTTTTGTTCCTAGCATGCATATAATTCTCCCTGCCCCCAAACACTAATTGTTTTCAGTATTGCTAATTAAGTAATTAATAAAACCTGACTGTGAGGTAAATAAATATTCATAGTACCTATTGGGTGGGAAAACATAATCATTCTCATTTGCAGATGAAGAAATGGGAGAAGTATGTATGTGTGGGGTTGCAAGGAGAAAGGAGACCTGGAAGGAACAGCACTGATGATTTTTGCAGCAAAACTGAGATAACTTGAAAGAGTTCTTCAGATGGGTAAAAAAAAAAAAAAGAATAAAGAATAAAAGAAAAAATCAATATACTCTATAGAGATTTTTTGTACAGTTGCCCAAATTTCAATGGCTATGACAGTTACTTAAGATGGTAAAAGTTCATCTGGCAGGAACACAATTTATTGACCTTGAGAAATGTTCATCACTCTTGGCTCATCTAGATCAGCACATGGCAGAGGAGGAAATGGAAGGCTTTAGGGATGTGACTCTGGTCTTACAATTACTGACCAACAGAATTGAGCTGCTCTGAGAATCTGTAGACATTAAAGAATCAGTGCCTGTGTTGTTCTAATATTCTCGCTCTCTTTACTCAAGCTGTGGATGGTAAGGGATGCCAGACAGTGATCAGCCCAAGAAACTGTATTCAAAACCACGCATGCGTGCCCATGTGCACACACGTAAGCACAACCAGACTGGGCGGATGGAGAGAGAGAGAGAGAGAGAGAGAGAGAGAGAAAAACAGCAATTTCTCTGACCACTATAGTGAGACCTCGGCAGAGGGTGAGAGCCAGCTGTCTGCGTCCTCGGTGCTTACAACAAGAACCCACTGACATAAAGTAGCATATGACACATGGAGGCTGTCTACAAGCACCGTTATTGTGACCCCGACAGTGACAGAGGTGAGACCTAGACTATCCTTCCCAAGGAAGGTGTTAAGAAACCAATGAGCTCTCTTCTTAGATGCCATCATTGGTTCACTGAGGAGACTGGGTCATCTGTTCTCTCTCACATCCTACTTTTTCTTTTTTTCCTAGTACATCTCAGACCCCAAGAGGAAGACCCCCCCTCCTGAAAATACAGGGTTGTGTCTTCTGCAATAAAAAAGAGACCTGATTTTATCAGGGGGGAAACAAAGCCAACAGTTTGACTACATTTAATCTCATGTAAGAAAGTACAGTGGCTTCAAGAAAATAGCAGACCTGTTTTCCTTGCAATCTGCCCATCACTCTCAACTGGAAACAGAATATGGGATTAAAGCTGAAGGTGAGGGCAAAATATACTGAGCAACATGATACACTGGTCTGAAAGACCCTGTGCGTCTTCATGATCTCAAACCATAGCTTCCCTGAGTATCCATGCATTGTAATCCTGGCAAGTTTCATCTGCTCTGGGGCTAAAGAAGATTCTGGATCCAATGCTGTCTAGTACCTATGAGTACAGTTGTTTCAATGCATTTAGAACTAAACTGTTCCCTGCTGACGTCAGTCTAATAAACTGTTGATTGCTTAGAAGCTGGACATATAGTGACATCACTGTACTATTGATGAAAACTATTTAAATCTGATTTTATCATGTAAAACTGATATAACAGTGATAAAACTATTTTAAAGATTTTATTTATTTATTTGACAGAGAGAGACACAGCGAGAGAGGGAACACAAGCAGGGGGAGAGGGAGAAGCAGGCTTCCCGCTGAGCAGGGAGCCCGATGTGGGACTCGATCCCAGGACTCTGGGATCATGACCTGAGCGAAAGGCAGACGCTTAACAACTGAGCCACCCAGGCGCCCGTGATAAAACTATTTTAGACGCAAGGCATATCATGGGAATACACCAGATTGGGAGTTAGGGGGTCTGGACTCTGGTCCTCCTTACCCACATGACCTTGAGGATGTAACTTATCCTGGTTTTGCCTTAGTTCCTTGATCTGTAAACTGAGCTACTATACAAAACAGAACTTCAAGAGAATGCATGTCTCAGCTGCTTCATGAGATGGCTTTTCCAATGCCACCTCATTCCTTCCCCGAAGCTTAATGGCCACCATACCCACCAGTTTCTCCTTGTAACATTCCTTCTCAGTGGCTGTCAGTGATACAGCCCTTTCTTTGCCAAGGATGCTAAGACTCATGTAAAAAGAAAAGCCATCTCTCAGACTCACCAAAGGCCTCAGTGTGAAATATCTAAAAGGCAAGGCAGGTAACAAATGTGTGCCTGAATCAGGCCAGCCCTAATGAACGGGAAGTGGTTAGTCCTGTGGTGAACTGAATACTGCAAGCCTTCATCCCAAACACCTTTGGATTAAAACATTTTTTTTTTTTTAAAGATTTTACTTATTTGACAGAGACACAGCGAGAGAAGGAACACAAGCAGGGGGAGTGGGAGAGGGAGAAGCAGGCTTCCTGCGGAACAGGGAGCCCGATGCGGGGCTCGATCCCAGGACCCTGGGATCAATACCTGAGCCGAAGGCGAGCCACCCAGGCACCCTTAAAACATTTTTAATCTGGGTGGTGGCTAAACAAGTTTATGTAATCCTTGTAAATTAAGCCCATTATCGAAGATGGTTGACAATCTCAGGATTAAATGCTTGCTAAGGTCCTCAGCAATTGTGAAATTCTGGGGTCCAAAATCAGACAGATTCTGAGAAAGCTTGACTCCAGACTTAGAGTCAGTTTTGACTCCACACATGTCAGATCCTGAATATTTTTCTTGCTAGCCAGGACTGGCAATGTTTCCAGAAGTTTTAAGAAATCCATTGGCTCCCTTGCCCTTGGTTGTTCTATTTCCTGCGGTCATATCTAATGATTGGATTTCAATCCATCTGTTGATTTCCACAGCCTCATCTCTGCCTGCTGAACTACAGTGGGGGAAAAACAGTAAATGATCGAAGGGGATTGTGGAGGCTGAACATTGCAAAGGGAATATTTGGAGTGCGGCAACCCTAGGTTGAACATAGAGGCTTCTGCCACTTCTTGCCATCAGCTCTATGGGAACACTGTTTTCTTAGTCCCATTTTACAGGGTTGCAGTGAGAACAAAATGACTTAGTGCATTTAAAGGGCTGGACATTGAGTCTGACTTCTCGTAACATACACAGCAAATATAAACAGACCCTTTTCCGGGAACTGGACCCTACACACACCATTGCCACCGAGTGGACACGGGTGGCCCAAATGCCCCTCCACAAGGGAAATGTGTAGAAGTTTGGAGTTCTTTCAGATACAAGCTACAAAACTGTACTCTGCTCCTATCTGGTTGCTGCATTGCTGGATTCTACCATACGGAGCCTTACTCCATGTTGGTAAAGAAAAAACACCATATAAATATTGACTGGGTTATCCTAAAGAACATTCAGACAAAGCTGAAGTTGATATGCTGAAAAATGACTAAAGAATAAAAGGTTTTCTTCCAAGTTTGATGATAGTGGCAAAAAAAAAACACAAAACACCCAAAAGCAAAAACAAAAATAAAACACCAAAAAAACCACACAGTAAAGAACCTAGGACAGTTACATTTTCAATGAGTGTAACTGACTTAATGAAGATAAAATATATTTCAGACAAAAATATGAGTTTGACCTGAATTATTGATTTCATTTGCACTTGTAGCCTCACACGTATGATTTGGAGTCATAAATGGAAGTGAGCTGGGTTTAATATTGTCACAGTACACTAGCTGTACTGATCTAAAGGAGGGACAATCTGCTGTCTTAAGGGAATCCACAGGTTTCTGAGATAAATTGAATTACTTGACTAGGACAGTATATGTACATTTAACAGAAAATGATAAGTTCATGGAAATAAATTTTTTTTTATCAGTATTGGGCAAAAGAAGTACACTGTTATTTCAAGATGCTTATCTGGGCCAGTTCATGATATGCCAAAAAAATGCTTTTTTTGTTGCTCATGGCAGATTTGCTTTGTGTCATAACAAACGATATATTCTAAAACTGCACGGTTATGACTGTAATTTCACCTCAAAAAAAATTTTTTTTGTGACTTGGATAAATCACTCAAAATTTCTGCTTTCACTCTGTGCCAGCTACATCCCTCTTTAGAATTCGTTTTCTCATCTGCATTTGGAGTACACTTTATTTCCTGTATTGTGCTCTTAATTAAAAAGAAATTTGAGTCTTCCTGTAGCGATTTTATGGTCCCTATAAAAACTGGGAGGTACATGTTTCTGCAGAACATGATTCTTTTGGAATCTTTGAAAATCCTGGCATCTCTTCCTGCCCCAGAGTGTCCCTGAGGTATGCTATCTCATACAGTAGCATGTCTTTCTGTGTCTTACTGCTTAACTGTACCAAGGTAGATTTATCTGTTTACTAGTTATTACTTGGATTTGTGTACCTACTTTTTGCGGCTGACCTGAAGCGTCCCATTTTCCTTTATACTGTACCAGATAGCTTCCTTGTCTCTTTCCTGAGGCACCATTAAAAAAAGACAGGCATGAGAAGTTCTCGACAGTTACGCACAGGGCTGCAACAGTGATTCCTCCATTCCTTAAGTTTATAATTAAATGAGAATAGAGTTTCCAACAGGAGGAAAGCAAATGAAAAATTAAAGCCTTTGAAAAAGAAAAAAAAAAAACATTTCAAATATGCTGTGACAGAAATTGTGAGATGCCCTTCAACATCCGTTTCTCCCCTTCTACAATACTATGAAAATCCATTTTCAGCTAGGCACCTACCCAGAATAAAGACTTCACTGTCAGCTTGGTTAGGTGTGGCTGTGTGACTTAAGGTCTGTTCAAGGAGATGTAAATGAGGAGGTAAGAAAGCTTTTGGAAGTCTCTCTTAAGGGGCAACTAGTGTGCGCCCTTTTCCTTCTTCATTTTCTTCAGTTTTTCCTCCCTCCCGATGGCTGGAATGTGGATGTGAAGATTGGAGCGAGAGCAGCCATTTTGGACCATGAGGTGACCTTGGGAATGGAGGCTGCATCCCATAGAATAACAAGATAGAAACCAGAGACACCCAGGACCCCATGGACTTTATGGAGCAGAGTCACCACAGCAACCCTATACTGCCTACCTGTAGAGTTAGATATGAGAAAGAAATAGTATTTTAGCTTATTTAAGTCACTACTATTTTGGATCTCTGCTACTCACAATGGAACCTAATTCAACCTAATAGGTATAGTCAAATCTCTCTATTTATGTGATATCAATGTAAAACCTGAAACAGTTAAAATCATTTGAAACAGAAAGCATGATTTAACAAAAGTAGTTGAGGAGAAAATCTAGCAAAAATAGTATCACAACGCCTCTACAGTATAAATTAAAAATAATATTTATTTAAGGATCTCCAATGAGAAGTGGTCAACCCCTAATAAAATTATTCTTAATTAAAAAATCAAAATGTCATACATTATTTTGCTATCATTAGCTATGTACTCCAGAATATGCCACATGATCTGAGATTTTCTTTTATAGAAAAAGTTTCCATCTCCCAGAGAGGTAATTCAGAACAAACAAAATCTGAAAGAACTAGAATTTAGTCTCTGAGAAACATTATAGAAAGTGATGGGAAAGTTTCAATAAGATGTACCAAAATAGCCAAATTTGGGCAATAACTTGCTTCTGCCCACTCTGGCCCAATAATGTGATCTTATATCGTCTGAAGGCAGAATAGGGACATGGCCAAGGAGAAGGCATACAAATCTCATGCTCAAAAATTATTTGTTTTTATCCCTCAACTTTATTGAGGAATAACTGTATATATTTAAGTGTAAAATGTGATGATTTGATACACCTTACAAGGTGAAACGATCACCAAGATCAAGATAATTAACACATTCATATCTCACATTCTCACATCTTGTTTCTTTGTTTGGTGGTGAGAATGCTTAAGATCGACTGTCAGCAACTTTCAAGTATACAATACTGCCATTTGTTTTATATCTATCACAAACTGATTCCTCCAGGAACTGCTCCATGTGCTTTCTTTCATAGAATGACCACTGCAATTCTGGGAGGTGGGAATTGTTATCCCTACGCTATAGAAGAGGCACGAAGACCCAGAGAAATTAGATAACTTGCCTAACCTCAAAGACCTCTTCCTGAATTTTAGGCTTCTCTTAATCTCTCCATAAAAGGCTATTCATTTTATAGGAAGTGGAGGAATCCACCGACTTATAGAATATCTGCATTTACTAAATAAATGGGCCCCTGGAAATCTTTCATCTTCTGTTATTTTACCAAGAGTTTCAATCTTATGCTTCTATTGGTCACTGATGTTACTTTGTATGCCCATCTAAAACACACAGAATTTTAACCTAAGTGAATAAACAGAAAAGTATTGCATCTATCAATCACAATTTCCTGGTTTGACAATATGAGTTCCAACCTATTCACATAAGTACCTTGAAAATAATAAGCCAGAAAGTGACCTACCTTTTGAGTGAGCAGAGCTTGAACAACTTGGTTGGCTACCTTTAAAAAATAAAGAAAAGAGTTGCCGTTTATAATAATGAGACTTTATACGCATGGACTGTAATTTACCAATACGTTTCCCACAGTTTATTCTACCTAATTAGCTCCTCATTTGCCTCTTTCCTCTCTGTGTAGAGAACCTGATTCTTTTCATAATAAGCCTATCCTTCTAGGTGATGTTTTGCTTTTTTCCAAAGGTGACCTCGTTGCTAATTAAGATGGTTAGGTTGGGAAGATCATTCATACCTTGACTTCCACATTTCCATATTTGGAAAAATAATATCCTTTCATATGTAAAGTACTCCAAGATGGGTAAGAAATGATACAGTGTAAAACAGGATCCTAATTATCTGTACACAGTTTCTACACTTCGCTGATTTACAACGTCCTTTGTCTCTCCTTCCTATTCTTTTGCTGTGTGACTATTTCACTACTTAAAATGACTTGGAATAGACATAGGTTTGAATGGTGGAGAATAAGAGCAGCTCATTGTTTTCTATATGCTCTGTTTATAACCTCCATGTTTTCATTTATGCCATCCTCTTGTCACTGCTACCTGTCGCAGAATCTGCTGGTTGTTTACTCTAACATCTATTTTCCCCTAAGTAATGAACTCTGATTTTTTTTGGCTGGGTACATTTAAACACATTTCCCAGCTTTCCTTGTAGATAAGTGTCACTTTGTGACAAATTCCTGGCCAATGAGTTATAGGTCGACTTTTTTTCTTGATCTTATAGAAAGTCTTTAAGAAGAAGCCTCATGGGCGCCTGGGTGGCTCAGTTGGTTGGCCGACTGCCTTCGGCTCAGGTCATGATCCCGGAGTCCCAGGATCGAGTCCCACATCGGGCTCCCTGCTCAGCAGGGAGTGTGCTTCTCCCTCTGACCCTCCCCCCATCATGTGCTCTCTCTCTCTCTCTCTCACTTTCTCTCTCAAATAAATAAATAAAATCTTTTAAAAAAAAAAAAAAAGAAGAAGCAGCCTCATTCTTTTTCCTCCTTTTCCTGTCTGGGATATAAAAGTGATGGCTGGAACCTCAGCAGCCACCTAGATAATGAAAGTAACATATTAAGTATTGTTGTATGGAAAAATAGGATGAGCTTGGTCCTGATGATGCAGGGAGTTTCACTGTCTATCTCTGAACTTCTATGTGAAAGGAAAAAAAATATCCACTGTTATTTTGAATTTCTTCCAATACACAATCAAATAGAATTCTTACTAGTATATTAACGTAATCCTGATTTTTTTCAGGTATCAGGCCGCTTGGGGCAGTAGAAGAAGCTAGGCGCCTCTCAGTGAAGGAGGTGAATCTTGATTAATCTAAACCAAACTTGGCAGCTCCATTCCCTTTCAGCAAATAGTTTAGCACTGGACAATGTGGCACCATTCCATCTAAGAACCACATATAAACCCAATAACATGTCCCTGGTATTTGCAAAGATCTGGGCCTTTTCTGGCATTTTCTCCAGATAACCACTCATCATTTCCCTATGTATTTGAGCTAAGATTTCTTTTTCATTTGCAGGTTTCAAAAACACTATACAGGAAGTCACTTATATAACTTCACTATACCCTTGAAACTATGTACCCATATGGCTACTCTTGATAAAATTAAGGTGGGCAGGTGAATTAAGTGGAATTTTTCAGCCAGTACATTAACTGTACACATTTAATATAATCACATTTAATATGATCACTGAAACTTACAGTATTAAAGACCAACTCAGAATATTTAAATGTCCTAGATTAGGTTACTTCTGTTCATTCATTTCTTCCTTCATTTACTGAATATAAATCTGTAGAGTATTTGTAAAGCTAGATGACTAAGATATGTTCCTTGGTTTCAGAGAGAATATAATTGGCAAGTATAACACGTGTGATAACACATAATCATCTTGGTAATTCTCACATTCAACCAAAGGCTGAGGGACATGCTTTCATCTTTTCATCTTGATAACCAATTTATTTTTGGTGATACTAAACTATGTGTGCTTGTTTCCCTATCTAGTATAGTGGAACAGATTAGGGTAAGAATGTTTTCATGGAGCTTAATTGTTTTTTCACTCGATATTGACAAAGTAGCACATCCTTAACAACAGTTGGCTACCAGTAAGTCTCATAGAAAATTAAAACACAGGCTTATCATCAACTGTGGCCAGGAGGCATTCACAGCACAAGCAATAAATGATTAAAATCAGATTACCTATAACTGATTAGTTGAACTGTAGGCTCAAGAGGTTTATTTTTTTCCTATCAGAATCCTTTCCAAATTTACATTATTGACATTAAGCAAAGGAGAAAGACCTTTCACTGAAACAACTACAGTTTTGAAAAAAAAAAAAAAAACTTGGACAGTACCTGATATAGTTTATTTATTTATTTTGAAGTCCAGCCCAAGTTAAAGAAACCTACCCAAGGAACGTCATAGACCAAAATAAACCATATTTCCCTTAACTGATGCCTTTTCTTTTCCCTTTATCAGTTGATTTATACATGATCCTAACAGTGATGTTATTCAGCCATACAAATTGACCAATAGTGTCATCTTGAAAATCTTTCAGTTTTTAAACATTCATTCCAATTCGTAAGCACTGAAGATTTAAACGCTAACTATAGGTCATCTATTTTACTCTTGGCAAATTAAGAAAAAAACATACAACAACAGAAGAGTTCAACTATTCATACAGCTTGAATCAGGAACAATGTACCAAAATTAATTCATACCATAAATAATTTAATTCTTTTGGATCTCAAACTTTGGATTTGATTTACATTCTCATAAAACTCCCTAATATCAATATTTTCTTTTCTTCCCCCAACTGGTCCCTCACTTAAACCGGGCTGTGGAACAGTGGTCACATAAAATAGCTCTCTACATGATTTAACAGGAGACATAAATGAATAACCTAACTGTAACAGCCCACAGGAGAAAATACGTTCTATCTTTGCAATCCGAGTATGTTGCCCTATAGGCGTATAGGCTCCATCTCTGACACAGCTCCTTCTGGCATATACTTTGGACTACTGTTCTACCTAATAATTGAACAAAGATACACGAATGCATTATTTCTTTACCTACTGACATGGGATAGTTTATATCACCCAGAAGGACTCGCAGGTCCTCTGCAGAAGAGCAGGCCAGTTTGTACAAATGCTTTCCTGGGTACTGCCTATAAGACAGTTTCCTGGATTTCATCACTACTTTTAACAGCTAAGCTTCCCTGAAGCATCAATAGAACAGCTGTTTGGAGCTTGTGCCTGCAACCTCTAACAGGTTCACAACATGACCCCTGGAATGAGCCCCTGCCCTCATCATAGAATTACACCCTTAGCACTTGGGTTGCAAATAATCACACACCCACAGGTCCAGCTAATGAGAACAAATAACTTCCAGTGTCACCTGACAGCTTCCCTCTCCAAAGAAAGGGAAAATAGCAGCTGGGCTGGGCCAGGGGGACTGGAGACAAGCAGAGCAAAGCCAACAGTCCTTAAGTCTTTGGCTTGTTTTACAATCTGCCTTAGGCTCTCTGCAGAGACCTCCCTGTTTTGCCTCTGGTGGGGCACGGTTGCAGGGGAGCCGGAGATGCCAAGGAGAGGGCCCAGGTATGTCTCTTTTCCTCTCCGTAAGAGTTCTCTCAGACAAGCCAGCTCCTCTCACCCTGCTCACCTTGGACCCACACAAGTCTTTGTTCTTCTCCATCGGTCTTTGTGTCCCCACCCCCGGCCCTGCCCCCAGCACCCCGTGCACTCCCCTGGAAGCAGGTGGGCAGAGGGAAGAAAAGTCAGGGCTGCGGCTTTGTCTGTTTTTTGTTTTGTTTTGTTTTGTTTTGTTTTGTTTTCAGAAGAGTCCTTGAGGCTGAATGAGAAGCCACACCTGGGAGTTATTCTAAGAGGGAGCCAATTCTCACCCAATCCAGAGGACAGCCAGGGCTGGGTCGAAGGTGGCAGTGTGAGGAACTCAAAAGGCACCAAGCTTCGACCGGGTCCTCCTGCCTCATAGTCTTGCTTTTATCCTTGCCTGTGCTATTTTATCATGCAAAGCAACTGTCACACCAGCAAGCTCATTTAAAAACCTAATTGGAAAAGGACAAGTTTTGGAAAATGTGCTTTGGAGAAGTTTTCAATGCTTCTGAGTTTGGTTTATCATACTGAGGCAGCTGGGGACAAGGGAGAAGAGCATTGGGGCAGAATCACAAGAAGGACTTGGGTTCAAATGCTGCCTGTGTTGATGATACACTGATATGTCTGGGGGTCGGGGAGCAGCTTGACTTGACTCATTTGTGATGTAGGGGAACTGGCTACCTCTCAGCTTGTGAAAAATGCATGAGATGATAGATCTAACCAGAGAAACCACTTTGGACAGTACCTGCTATAAAGCAGTCACCCCATTAAAGTTAAATCTGAATCTGAGTATTTGAACTTCAAAGAATAAAATGCATTTTGAAGTAACTAGTTAAGAAAGAATGGTTAGATGGGGTGCCTGGGTGGCTCAGTCGTTAAGCGTTTGCCTTTGGCTCAGGTCATGATCCCAGGGTCCCGGGATCGAGCCCCACACATCCGGCTCCCTGCTCTGTGGGGAGCCTGCTTCTCCCTCACCCTCTGCTTGCCTCTCTGCCTACTTGTGCTCTCCCTCTCTCTCTCTGTCAAATAAATAAATAAAATCTTAAAAAAAAAAAGAATGGTTTGAGAATAAGATATTTTATTTGTATAAGGATGAAGTGTGTGTGTGATATGCATGTATAAATATAAATCATTAAGCACCTATATTATTTATTTGCTCTGTAAAATACTGGGAGTGGGAGAAATTCATCAAACTATGTATGTGGGATCACAGGGAAAATTAATTGGGAAATTAATTTAGGGCTGACAATCTCCATTCATTCAGTCATTCAACAAATACACATTAAATGCATAGTATGGGCCATGGATTGTGCTGGATATTGGAGAAATATGCTGAATAGAACATAGATGCTGCCTCATGGTGGTCAGAATCTAGAGCAGA